TTTTCAAGTTCTATACCACATTTAATTTTTTACAACATAGTGTTGTTAGCATGAATTCTTCGGATGTTATTTCTTTTTGCTTGTTCGGACAATATTTTTGGAAGTTTATTTCTGATTTTAACTTTTCTATGGGGTTCGCTATGGATGTCATGGACCAATACTATTTGACATCTTTTCTTGAGATGACGTAGGGCGTTGATGATGACGTAGGGCATTGATGTAGATCAGCGGGAAAAATCTGCAATGCATGAACAATAAAGGGGTGACACATCCATGACAATTACTCGAAACACAACGACACTACGTCTTGTTTCTTGCATACAATTACTCGGTACATCCATCAATTTCTTGCATACAATTACTTGGGACGCAACGACACTACGTCTTATTTAAGGTTGAATTGTTCTTTTTATGGTGTATACTCACCGTCACTAAGGTAAACTTAGGGTTTTGGTTTGATCACACTTTTGAGCGTGTTGTGCGCTCCGATCGCCCATTTATTCTCGGCTCTTACATCACCCATCTCGCTTCTCAACTTTTTTTCATTGTCTTTTGATGTTGAACAATTTATTTATGCTTTCTCTATGGATGGTTTAGATGTGTGATGCTTGGACATGATAGGACTACTAGCTAGCACTACCGATGCACCTTACGTTGTTCCTCCCGACATTGTGACCCCTCGTAGTGAACGTGTTTTCCTTCGGAGGATTGCACCACCACCGATACCAATAGAGGATTCGTAATCAGACGTGCACACCCAGATTCATGAAGTGCACTATCGTCTCAACTCCATCGAGACCAACCTTGTAGAGATTTTATCGTCTCATTGCGACCGCAGCCACGACCGTCATTAGACACGTGGAGTATCTCTATTACTTCTCTTACGCTTTAATTTTCCATATTGAGATAATATGATTTAGGTGAGGATGTAGAGAAAGATTGCATCAGTTTTCTCTCACTTGTTTATATGTTTGATTTAAGTTGGTTTAGTTGATATGTTGAGATATTTTGTTGTCAATCATGACTTTTGCTTTGTTTCATTGATTACCTTATGAGTTTTTGATCCCACTTTTATTGGAATTAGGGTGCATGATAGTGAAATGGCTTGACTAGTTTTTTCTTTAACTATTTTGCTTGATATCCCATGCTTTTGTTGATTGATAGGTTTCTTGACTCGATATACATTACACTTTCTCGTGAGGTTTGAGCTTAATCGAGCATATTTTCATTCTTACTCATTTTTTTGATTGAGTGTGCTAGATTAATGTTGATATTCAAGAGCTTGTGAGTAAATGCATATCGAGACTACATGTTTTGAACTTGCTTTAATATGATAAGGGCACTTAGGAATTACCCACTTCTCTACCCAAATTGTCTACACATTTATTTCCCTTAGTGAACTATTTTTGTGCCTTAACCCTTTCTTTTTTTACCACATGTTAAACCTGAAACCTTTTAATTTTTACACTCTTTTGTTACCCTTGTCAAGATAGAGTTTTTTTTCTTTTCAAAAAAAATGGTTTGAATGGTGTTCAAACAGAAAAAAAAGAAAAAATAATAAAAATATTAGAAAGAAAGAAAAAAAAATTGATTGTTTGATTACACTTCTTCACATTTTTTTACTTTGTTAATTTTGTGGCTTGAACTTATATATTTTTTCATCTATTGTCTTGATATTTCAACCTATTTTTGGCCTTGTTCCCTACCTTAACCCCCGTTACATCATTTTTTTTAAAGACCCTTTGATTAAATGCATCTTGTTCATTTTAGTGGTGGAGACTTCATTTTCTTACAAGCATATGGTAATGTCATGTCTTGATTCAGGCTTGAGCTATTTCTTTTACCCGAAACACTATGAGCGACAATGAGTGAATCATTGTGAGGTGTTGAGTCTTGTTACATTGAAATTGGTGAATAATTGGGATATATATTTTTTTTCTTGAACTTGTTGCTAGTTGTTCCATTTACTTACTTGTCACTTTGCTTCCAATGGTTGTTATGATTGTCGACTCATTTGGTATTTTTTGACATATTGTGAGATGAAGGATGATAACTTGAGATTTTGATATTTGATTAAGACATGCTCGAGGAAAAAATTGAATAAGTGAGGGAAAATTTGATGAGTTTTTAATTTTGTAATTGTTTTGTCATTGATTACTCCTTGTTGACTTTTTAATATTGCTGATTTGGGTTGGTTTTATTCGTTTTTGCACATGACTTTAATTTATGGAAAGCAACATTAAAAGAGTAAATTCTACAGTTTTTTTTATTTTCTGGAATCAAGGTTGGACACATGGGCATGACTTAGGGCATGATGATGACTGATGTGGCAGATTCTGGCTATCCAATCAACGACGGTTTCCAGAAAATAATCCAGTCAGCAACATCTAGAAGATGGACAGACAACAATTGCTTAGGATTTAAGATTAAGTTTGAATTTAAATGCTTAGGAATTATCATTTTATTATTTAGGATTTTGTCTTTCTATCATATAAGATTTTATTTGAAAGTTTTTAGGATTATCTTTAGATATTTTATTTTAAATATTTCATTTATCTTTAGGTTAATTCAAGGCTATAAATACCTCTTAGGGTAAAGTTTAAAAGGCACTGTACTTGAATTCAATTTGTTTTTGGAATTTTACTTTTATAAAAGTTTTTCTTCTCATCATTATTCTTGCTTGACGTTTTTACTTTGTTTTCTTTAAAAATATGCTAAGTATGATTTTCTATTATGCTTAGCTATTTTTCTCATTTAGTCGATGGCTTAGTGATGACTCAATTCGTTCGTGCGAATTAAAAAACACTTAATATTTTCAGATATCATTCTCAATTTTCTGCAAACTTGGATTGGTAATCGACATTTTCTTTAAAAATTTTAACGCTTTCATTTCAATAACAGCTCGTTGGTCTGGATGTTGTTCTGATTTAAAGTTGGTAGGAAGGATCGACTTGTAGCAAATTCGAATTCCTATGAACACACTTAGTGGCAGTCTGCTAAGGGGAATTGAGATCAGATTTGATTCTCATTAAGATAATATAATCTCAGTTGGGCTTTTGCAGTACTTAAAACTGATTTGGTGCTAACGACAATTTTCGTAGTTAGTCTAAACAATGATTGAATTTTAAAGATTTACTTGGGAATACTGGTTTACCAGAGAGAAAATTAAGTTATAAGGGTTGAGCCTTGTAGAATGTAATCGACATGAATTCCGAAGTAAAATATGTTTTAGTGATCGAAATAAATTGAGGGAAAACGAAGCTTGAGACTATTTATTCAATTGATTTTCTTCTCTAAATGTGACTTTCTTTATCTTTCTATATTTAATTTTTCACAACCACTTTTATTTTTTACTTAGCTCTTTCAATCAAAATGCCCCCATTTTTTGTTGTTGTCAAAATCAGAATCAAAACCTCTTGAAGTTAAAAGTTCCTTAGTCCCTGTGGATCAACTTTTCTTCTCTTTACTACGTTCATTTATTTATTTATTTATTTTGAGATTAATAATTATTTATTTTACAATATACGATGGTTGTCACTCTTTCTACCACCTATAATCTCTTTATATATAATATATATACATTTTTTACGGGTGAGAGTTAATTTATTTTTTTAAGATGTGTTTGGTTCACGGAATCTAAGATTACCAGCGGGAATAAAAGATTACCAGGGAATATGATTACTGGGAATATTATATTACTGTGTTTGGTTGGTTTGGCAGGAATGTAAGATTACAGTGTTTGGTTGAAGGAATAAAAGATTACTGGAATGTATATTTTACCAAATTGTCCTTATTATATATTTTTTAACAAGTGAAATTCTAAATATTTAAATAAAAATTTATTTATATAAAAATTCTATATGTTGATAATTTATTACTTGAGTATTTAAATATATCATGTATTATTTTAATTTTAATTAATATTAAATTTTACATAATTTATGTAAAACTATATTAAAATTTTACATCAACATTTAACTAAATGTTTACATTGTGGAAATTAGCTTCGGTTCATACGTGACGCATTCACCGGAAGGTTTCTTGTATTTTTCAATCGACAAGGTTTACATTCTTTTATACAATAATTTATCATAGGTATTCATAATAATAAGAAGTTGTGAATTATTTTTATTATCTAAGATATAATATTTATTATATCTTCTATGTACAATAATTTATTTATTTATCTTTTATATTTATACTTAATTCTGTATATTTTATTATTATTAGTTATCTCATGAATTTATATTACGATCTTTCCTGCAAAATCAAATCCTTTACAAGCAGATAAGGAGGCATTTCACCATCCATTACAAATCTCAAAGTTGGTGGAAAAATCAAGTTGCCCCTTGCTTCAAAATTGGTTCGCACTCTGCTAACAGTGCTTTTTAATCACAGCTGGTTTTATCTTATGTGATTTAATCATCCCTATAAAGGATTCTTACAAATATTTTTATTGAATATGTCTCATACGATAGAAACCAAACGGATCGGCTGAACATTGAAGCATAAAACATATAATGGAAATCAATGTTTGGAATTTGTTCTATTTGTAACAATCATTCGGGAAGATAATTCCATAAAATATTATACTGAAGAATAGCTCCAAAGACTGGCACATGAATTGAAGTTTTGCATTTCAGTAGTTATGGTAGTTTGGCATACTCCTTTATAATCAACAATGTCACCATACAAATAACAATCAATAAATTCCCTGATTTTTTTTTTTCAGTTTGTAATAAGATGCTTCGGTCTCCAGAACTCATGGTCGACCAAAAAGTTTTTTCTACCTTTTAAATTATAAGAAAACCAGAAATGACACTCACCTTGCCAAACAATGGATATTGTTATTGAAACCCCCCGTGTCAACGTTGAATCCGGTTGTGTTCAAGATATTTGATGTCATGAAAGTGGCAAATAAATAAGGCAACAAGCTCCAGGACCCATCATTAGCACCTCCAACTTCTTCCAAAATAAATCTAACCCACTCAGAGTCATGATCACCAGCAAGAGCAACACTGTTTGCGACCCCCCTCATTCTTCTTATTTCCCTCTTTTCGGGTATTTCTGCAGGCAAGAGCAACACTGTTTGCGACCCCCCTCATTCTTCTTATTTCCCTCTTTTCGGGTATTTCTGCAGGTATATGCTTAACCACTCCGGCAAGAAATGAATAAATTAGAGGTGCACCTACTTTGAGTACAGCACCAGAAGCTTCAGCTAAAAGTTTATCAAAAGCCAAGGCCTGTCTTGCCTCAATGCAAAAACAGATTATTGTGTCCAAATCCACAATTTGCTTCAAACAAACCTCCCTTTCTATTCTGTCACCAGAATGCATGCTGCTGGCAACTGCTTCTAACAATTCACGGTTTGACCGTAATGATGTGTCTATGCAATTCAACAGGGCAGCAGTGTGTTCTTTCATCATCCTATCTAGTCTATCAACCCCATAACAGCCAAAAATACGGACAAATGGCTGCAGTTCTCCAAGATCAGTGACTGACTCGGCAAAATATCCCCCAACTGGCCTCGTGCTTTTGAAGCATTTGTGCATAGGCGTAAACAGAATTCCAGCACCAGAAATATCCTTCACAATTGAGGTCAAATAAAAGTCTTGAAATATCATCTTTCTATTGATTCTATCGTCATTTAATGATTTCTCTGATTAAAAAATACTATGTTGAATTCAAGGGATCATCTTTAGATGGCAATAGCTCTTGCCACCATTTGACATGTGATCATGCAGTGTCAACAAGACATGACCTTTAAGTCACATGTATTCCAAGTCAACTAATTAACAATTCTTTCATTTAGATCAACAGATTTTAATTGCTTAATTAATAATTTGAATTTTTAAATAGTAAGTAGTAACTAAGATATCAACCTCATTCACAAATTAATATACCATGCATGTAAAGCATAGCTCACACTTGCAGAAGCAAGCAACAAAATTGCTATCTATAAAATTAGAGTATAAACCACCTTAAGTTATTTGGTAATGAAATTCCCACATGGCAGGTTGCAGCATATTAAAAAGGTAGAATGTATATCATTACAGAAGCCTAAAAAATACATAACAAATATGTTGATAATGATATTCAATCACTTGCATTTATTTTGTACAAAACAGACTGAACTTCTACCATGGGCATATGTTTTCTTTTGTCTTATTCTTGATTAACTATCTCCTTCTCAGTAGAAAGCTTTCAGTATTAAAAGTATAACTGGCTTAAGGTAATCACTACCCATGCACAACGTTTCACTTAGATCCCACACATCATAATGAAAAGGCTTCAGCAAGAACTGAACAGTTTATAATAAATGTGCAACACTATCGAACACATGAGAAATTACTCTTTTTAGCATAAAGCAAATAAATAATGACAAAATTATTTATGAACTAAGCCCAAAAGAACCATATATAGTTCCTCCCATCCCTAAGTTTCACTTTCAATTTAATAAATGAGATTCTTACGCACAGAACATAAATTTCCGATCTTGCTAGATAAAACTCACACAGTAGATAACCGCTGAGTCAAACTAAAACGAATCACCAAGATACAACCAATTCAAACTTGATCAAAGAGTAAAAACGTAACAAGAAGCAGCGGATCTAGCTCATGAAGCGCGTTCACATTCAAAAATACAAATACCGATTAACAACATAGCATTTGATGAAGAAAAAACAGGATCCCTTCTAACATTGACGAATCGATCAACATGCATTTAAATTAACAAATTAGCGTTAATGCCAGAAAGAACAACAGATCGATCCACCCTAATCGAAGTGGAAAAAAAGAATAACGAAAAATGCAGAGATCAAGGTTCAACGACTATTGTTTTGAATGATTCTCGAAAAATATTTAAAATATATATATAAATGTGACTTACAGAAGAGAAGACGAACTTACCTGTGCCGGTATAACTGTAAAGTTTCCCGTTAAAAAATACAAATATCGATTAACAGTAAGAACGATAAGAGATCGATCCACCCATGCCTTTGCCTAAGGAATAGCCCTTGATTGTGAAGTGGTGGGAGCCATTGACGGTCTGGGTTACTGACCGAGAGCTCGTCGGCGAGCCCAAGGGAGTGGAGGGCATGGGTCGGTGGAGTTTTGACGGTTTTCTGGGGAAGGAAATGGAAAAACAGAAGGGGGAGAAGATAACTGGTCTAAGAGTCTAATTGATTCAACTATGAATATAACCGGACCCTATCAAATATCCTTTCTTTTACTTTACAGTTTACAACCCCTCTTTAAGTTTATTCAATCTTCCATTAAAGCTCAAATACTGCACAAGATTATAAAAAAAATGGCAGAATAGATCCAAGCAAAACTTAAATCAACTACGGGGAGAAGAAGATATTTTAACCGTGTGTGGAGAATACCCAATTAAACATGGGTATCCTTAGTAAGAAAAAAAAAATGCTTGTCAGGAATCTTAAAATTCTTGATCCAAACGCGTACTTAAAGGATAAAATATGATTATATAATTTCTGATTAAAAAATGAAAATTTTCATTTAAGCAACCCATGGCCCTTATCAACCCCGATGTAGATGACGAGCATTGACAACTAGGATCAATGAGGTTGAAATTGTCCATCATGTACGATAGAGTTCCTCGCATTTCAAATGTTCACAGAAGCATTAATAAATCTACAAAGTCCTCCAAACCAAGCGTAACAAAGGTAGATTCTAACCAATGTAGTGGAGATGTACATATAGAGGGTGTTTGGTTCGAGAATTATGGGATTCTCATCCCTATATTCTCATGTTTGGTTGGTCGGGAATCTCATTTCCGGTAATGTTTTATTACCAATAGTAGATTTTTTGGGTATATTACCGGGAATATCATTACTTCCCTTCTCTTAGGTATTATAACATTACCAGCGTTTTGGACTAAAATGCCCTTAAATTTTTATTTTTTTTTCAAAAATATTCTTCTTCTGTCATTAAATAATAAAAATTCTACGAAGGTTAAATTATAAATTTATCCTTAAATTATTTTAGATTTACAAAAAAAAATCTATAACTAAAATTTTATATGAAGTTCAAGGGTTAAAAAATTTTTACCCTTTCATTAAATTTTTTTTATATTTTTAATTTTGTAAAAAAAATTACATAAATATTATGAATTTAATTTTTTAAAGAAAATATATAAATATTTTGCAATTTGTAATATTATACAAATATATAATAAGGACAATTTGATCAAATATACATTCCAATAATCTTTTATTCCTTTAACTAAACACGGTAATATTACATTCCTGTTAAACCAACTAAACACAAAATACAACATTCCCAGTAATCCTATTCCCTGGTAATCTTTTATTCCTACTAGTAATCTTACATTTCGTGAACCAAACGCACTCATAGAGTTGAGAACCGAGCCTGGTATTTCAGCGTGTAGAAGCACCTCCTTGACGACGTAACTGTCCCGAACAACATGAATGGTCATCTCGATCTCAAGGTTACAAAGAGGACAGAGACCCTCACCTAATCCTGCATTCCTAATTCTAGAGCCGAATGGTAATGCACCATGCGCCAAGAGCCATGCAAAGATACGTGCTTTAGGGAGAATTTTCAGCTTTGCCATAGATTTCCACAGTTTAGAAATCACCGATAAGCCCATCGTACGGAGTATATGCCCGAATCATGATTTCCACAATACTATCATTAAAACAAGGAGCTATAGGAACTTGCAACATGTCGCATGAAGTCACCACAGCGAATGTCCCTCTTCCCTGCATTGTTATAAATACCTACAAGTGTTGTTAACTTTATGCCACCCCATTTATCTTTAAATAAGTGCGAAGTACCGTTTCATCCAACTCTCCAGAAAAGAGCATTGGATATGGCTCGTAAAGCTTTATGAAAACCCTTCCATGCATACGAGCTCTTATTTTCGATTTTAAAATTTAGCACGTCACCATCAAGATAATACTTGACACAAAACACATTTAAACAAAGACTCTAGTTCCCTAATGAGCCCTTGTTCCTGTTTACCTAGCATTGCTGTATTAAAGGACTAGAGATCTTTAAAGCCAACAGGTTTGCAGATTGTATTAGTAAAAAGAGGCCATCCATGTTTTGAATTTTTGCCTTTTTCACCTATATTGACACATAATCCTTGTGATTTCATTTAGTAAGTGCGTTGGTAATAAATAACAAGACATAACGTGCTAAGGTAGAGTCTGAGCCACTGCTTTAAGAAAGACTTCTCTTCCTCCGTAGTACAATAAACACTTTGTCCACCCAGTGACTTTAGTCATTACTTTATCACGCAAATAGCCGAAGGTTCTCATTTTATTTTTACCAATGTGTAGAGGAAGCCCAAGATAATGTCCAAGAGAGTCCACTACCTGAATACCAAATATGTTCGTCATGCGATCCTAATGCGCACTAATCGTATTTGGACTAAAATAAAAACGGATTTGAAAAAACTGATCTGTTGTCCCGAAGAAGCAACATAAAGTCCTTGCATATTTTTGATATGATTAGCCTCAGATACTGAACTCTTAAGGAACATCAAGCTATCATCTACAAACAACAAATAGGAGACACTTGGTCCATTCTGAGATGCCCTAATTCCTTTAATATCTCCTGTAGATTGAGCACAACAAAATAAAACCCACAAATCTTGTGTTACAAACAGGAACAGAAACGGAGAGCGGAGACCCAAACAACATAAGAGTGCAATGATTAAGGCACCTTGTTGGCATCTCATGAACACAAGGTTCATACCCTATTGATGTAATTCCTTCCCTCCGTTTGTAATGTAAAAATTCATAGAACAAAACAAACCTGTGCTTCGCCTACTTTATTTCTATTTCATACGCAAAATGGAAAAGAAAATAGAAGAATAAGAACCCATGATTTATCACATATTACCAATGTTTTTAAAATCGGATCGGACCTTAAACCAGTGAAAATACTGATTCAACCGCGATTAAATCGATTTATAAAAAATAATATTTTTTAAAAGTTTATATAATATTCAAAGCAATATATATATATATATATATATATATATATATATATACTTTTTTTAAGTTAACAATATTAAAATATATAAAAATATCACAAGTCATAACATATATAAGTTAAATACCATAACATCAAGTGAAACAAAATGATTCAAATCAACTACAACGTAATATTTACGGTAAATACCTAATGAAATTCATCAACAACTAAATAAAAAAAGTACATAACTGATACAAGTATTAATTATCATAATATTCATTGAAATTGATTCCCTCAAATTCCAAAATATTGGGAAAAACTTCTTCATTAGTTGAACTACTACCACCATCACCACTTTGAACTTGAAAGTTCACAACATCAAGATCTTCGTCACCTAACAATATGATAAATAAATACAAAATTAAATTTAAATTCTCAAACAATACTTAACAATTAAAAGTAAAAGTATAAAACATATTAAATACTAAATATAATTATATAACTAAAATAAACAAACAAAGATTAACCTTCATTGTTTTTTGATGATAATTATATAATTAAAATAAATTTGAGGCTGAAAAAAATTATAACAAACGACGTCGTTTGATTTAATTTAAAAAAAAAACAAAACGCAGGTTCCCAACCGGCTCACACCGGTTTTGTCGGTTCCCAGCCGGTTCTACTGGTTCTTTAGAGATTCATTGCAAAACTGGTTTTGGAGGCTAACCGGACCGGACAGACAACCGGTTCCCGGTTCAACCGGTCAAACCGGCCGGTCCGGTTTTGATAACATTGCATATTACCTTCACAAGCCATAAAACTTGGATCTGTACATGCCTAAATAGAAATAAAACAAGTCCAAATGGAGTTGGAAGAAGCGAGGGACACTCAAAACATGTCAAACTCACTGATTTTATCCATTCCACAGTGCACCAAGTTATTTACAATTCTTGAATGCCATAGACACTACATCACTTTTGGAGAAACCAGAATGGCCAGCTTCTCAACGCTTGCTTCATCTAAAAACCACAAGCAATTCTTTGACGATTTGGAAAATTTTATACAAACTTTCTACACGTCATTTGAAGACTAGACATCATACACCGACAGTCGCTCTTCGATAGAAACACGGCAGATCGGACACCTTTTGCACTTCTCACAGCAAGTTCCGAGAAAAACAACATTATTCTTAATGATTAAAGAAAACAAATTCCCCATCCGTTGATATGAGATGAAATATTAAACACCATATGCCGAAAATACGGTATGCTACCACAAGTTACGACTTTATGTAAATGCCACTACCAGGGTAGATGCAGATACCTGCAGAGGACATGATGTCTACATGGAAGGAGGACTACATTGATTTGTTCCTCAAAGCAAACTCTACACAGAATCTTTTCCTGTGTGACAGGTTCATTCAATTGATAAGTAAGCAATACAATATATATTTACCAACAATTAGAATAACTTGGTGCTGAAACAATACATATTGAAGTCTTTCAAACTCCTGCTGACTGTACTTGGTGACTTCAGTCTGCTCACTGAGTGCAGCTTGTAATCTCCAAATCTGTATTTAAAAGATTTGAAAATGTTAGTCTAATATTGCTTGAGACGGAGATTTCAGACAACCAAAAACTGTGTCTACCTCTTCAACAAGATCTGACTTTGGTCTTTGTCGTAACCGGTTTTCGTCCGGGCACGAAATATTAAAATTTGGCGGGGAAATTAATATTAATAAATAATTTTGAAAATAATTTGTGAGTCGCCATCGGCCTTTTTGGATCAGGTAGGTCGAATACCTAAAAATTATTTTTTAAAGAATTTTAAGAAAACATCAATTAAAAATTGAACTGATCTGCGTTTTAAAACCAAAAATTCATTTTTTTTAATAATAAAAAGGGATTCGTGGTCGGTTACGTTTAGGGAAGGATTAGCACCCCTACAACGCCCAAAATTGGTACTTTTTAATTAGAAATTGTCTCTATTAAAAATTTAAAAATTCAAAAATATATTTAATTTATAATCTTATAATTTCAAAATTGTAAAAAAAATATTTATTTAAAAATATCCGAAAAGAACTTCTAGGTGCCTTAAGACAGTTCTTTTCTTTGATATTGATAATATAATTTAAATAATATTGTTTAATTTTAAAACATCAGAATAGGACATCCAGTTGTATTAAGACTGTCCTTTTCTTCGATTTATTAAGATAAAATATTTAAAAATTACTATTATTTATTTATGAATATATAAAAATATTTATTCATAAAATAAAAATACTATTAAAACAACATATTTAAAAACAATAAAAGAAAACATATAAAATAAATGACTAAATTACAGTAAAATAAAATTAAAAATCTAATTCATAATTAATCAAATTATAGGGATCAAATGTTATTTTCTGATTTAATGATTTAGTGACTAAATAAAATTATCTAAATTCGAATTTATAATGAAATAAATTAAAAATATAAACTAGGGATAAAAAAATTATTTATAGAAATTAATGGATCAAATCTGTAATTTATCCTAAATATATATTTTAATATGAAGGACTAAAATAAATTAAATTAAAATTCGAAACCAAATTAAGAATATTTAAATTTAATTTAGTGACTAAATGTAAATTTTACAAATCCGAGGACTGCGGACGGGGTTTAACTTTTTATTACGCGTATAGTCCTTCCCGAAACGACGTCGTTCGGGAAGGACTATAAATGGTCCAAACCGGCTGGCCCTTCGTTACACTAATATATATCGGACCGTCCTAAGGACGGTTCCGGTGTTATTTCTTCCTAAAAGGCTCCCAATCGGAGCAAATCTACAAAAGTACCTTCGGTATTTTTGGTTCTCGGCGATGTTCAGTGTTTCCGGCGACGGTCAAGGTTTCCTTGGTAAGCCTCTTCTTCCTTTTTCTTTCCTTTTTTTTTTGGTTCTTTGCTGCTGAGATCGTTGGTATAGTTTGTTTTTTCTTCTTTCTTTTTTCTTTTTTTTTCTTTCTCTCCGATTCTGTCTCTGTCTCCGTCTCTTCTCTTTTTTTTTTTCAGGTGGGGTGGTGGCTTTATAGCCACCACCGGTGTTCGTCTCGGACCGGTCCGAAGAGGGGCCTCGGTGAGTCACCGGACTACCAGTGGTGACTCACCGAGTAGCCATGGCATGGACGGCTGTTATTCTGTCTTCTGGAGCCTTCATTCGGGACGTGGCAGCGGCGGAGGCAGCGAGAAGACTGTCGGCAGCCGCGTGGAAGCTGGGGCGGCGCCGCGTGGCCCTAGGGTATCAAACCCTAGGGTTCCTCTCTGGAGCCATGTGGACCGTTGGATCGTGCCAGATCCAACGGTTGTGATGAGGCGGCTGAGGATGATTAGGGTTAGGAAACCCTAACTGGAAACCCAAATATTAGGGTTTCTGGTTGGATTTGGACCGGTTTCAGTTGGTTTGTAACTGAGCCGGTTTAATTGTAATTGGTTTGTATTTAATATATTAATAATAAAAATAATAATAATAATAATAATAAAAATAATAATGATAATAATGTTAATAATGATAATAATAATATTAATAATAATATAATAATGGATAAAAAATATATCTTCAGCTGCCCCTCTTTGCTCATTCTTGTGTTAACAAGAATAGGGCAAAGATGAAAAGATAATAAAATTTTTTATCCATTTGACTTTACTTTGATCATTATGGAGATATTGAATAAATTCTTCTTTTTCTCCAAATAAGCTCTTCTTATTATGAACTTTCTGCTGGGATGATGATGACCTCCTTTTTGTGATAGTCATTCAAAGGTTGAATAAGCTCTTGATGAGTTCTTCTCATTATGAACTTTTTCTTCCTTCTTCAGATGAGTTCTTCTCATTATGAACTTTACCTGGTAATGTTGATCCATCAACTGATGATCAAGCAAAAGGTTGAACAAATTCTTCTCATTATGAACTTCTTCTTCCTTCTTCAGATGAGTTCTTCTCATTATGAACCTTCTCTGGAAAAGAATGATCCATCAAGTGATGAATTTAAACAAAAGGTTGAACAAGTTCTTCTCATTATGAACTTCTTCTTCCTTCTTCAGATGAGTTCTTCTCATTATGAACTTTCTCTGGAAAGGGTGATCCACCAAATGATGGATTCAGGTAAAAGGTGAACAAATTCTTCTCATTATGAACTTCTTCTTCCTTCTTCAGATGAGTTCTTCTCATTATGAACTTTCTCTGGAAACGATGATCCATCAATTTGATGAATTCAAGCAAAAGGTTGAACAAGTTCTTCTCATTATGAACTTCTTCTTCCTTCTTCAGATGAGTTCTTCTCATGAACCTTCTCTGGAAAAGAATGATCCATCAAGTGATGAATTTAAACAAAAGGTCGAAACAAGTTCTTCTCATTATGAACTTTTCTTCCTTCTTCAGATGAGTTCTTCTCATTATGAACCTTCTCTGGAAACAATGATCCATCAATTTGATGAATTCAAATCTTTGCTAAAATCTTTGAAATTCCTATAAAAATTCAACATAGATGAAAATGAATGAAAATGCACCTATTTTTGTAAATACCTAAAATATGATGCATGTATATTAAGTTATTTGATTTCAGATGAGTGAATTGAATTTTTCAATTGTAGAACCCAATATATCATAGATGAAAATGAATGAAAATGCACCTATTTTTGTAAATACCTAAAATATGATGCATGTATATTAAGTTATTTGATTTCAGATGATGAATTGAATATTTCTTCAATTGTAGAAACCCAATATATCTGTCTTCTTCAAATCAAAGAATCTATCATCTTTGATAAATGTAGATGTAGATATAATGTCATAAAACCTCTTGAGAATAAAACTCAATAGTATAAACTCTTGAAATGCTTGCATTCTGGCAATATGTTGATTCTGATAACAACTCATCTGATTATGAAATGACCTTTCAAGATGATTTCACAGATATCGATAGTTCTTTTAATACCAAGAAATCTTGAATTCTGATTCTGATGAGGAGAATAAACTGTTATACTTGACAAAAATGGGATTCTCAGATGCTGAAGCTTCAATATCCATGTAGAAATGTGGTCCAGATTCATCAATTGTAAAATTGATAAATTTTATATGTGCTGCTCAAATGACTAAGGCTGCTGATGCACTTCTTTAGATCAAATAACTCAAAGAACGCTTCCAGAAGATGCTATTGGCAAATTCATCTTCTAAACTCAATGCTTGATTCTGTCTAATCAGATCAGATAACTCAAGAACACTTCCAGAATGCTATTGGCAAATTCATCTTCTAAACTCAATGCTTGATTCTGTCTAATCAGATCAGATAACTCAAAGAACACTTCCAGAAGATGCTATTGGCAAATTCATCTTCTAAACTCAATGCTTGATTCTGTCTAATCAGATCAGATAACTCAAAGAACACTTCCAGAAGATGCTATTGGCAAATTCATCTTCTAAACTCAATGCTTGATTCTGTCTAATCAGATCAGATAACTCAAAGAACACTTCCAGAAAATACTATGTTCTGTCCAACCAGATCAGATAACTCAAAGAACACTTCTAGAAGATGCTATGTTCTGTCCAACCAGATCAGATAACTCAAAGAACACTTCTAGAAATGCTATGTTCTGTCCAACCAGATCAGATAACTCAAAGAACACTTCCAGAAGATGCTATGTTATGATCAACCAGATCAGATAACTCAAAGAACATTTCCAGAAAATGCTATGTTCTGTCCAACCAGATCAGATAACTTAAAGAACACTTCCAGAAGATGCTATGTTCTGATGATTTTCCATTGACAAAGAAGTGATGGCCTTCATGGGATCCAAGAACAAAGTTGAACTTGTTATAACTATGTACCAAAAGTGCCAAATTGATAGAAAAGATTTGTAATGTTCTTGAAGCTTATGACAAAGAGCCACTTTCGAGTGTCCAGAAGTATGTTCTTGATGAGTGCTGAAAATGGAATCTAGTATGGGTTGGAAGGAATAAAGTTACTCCACTTGAACCTGATGAGGTGGAAATGCTTAGGTTTTCTTAAAAACCATATACAAGGATTTGTATAGAAACATGTTTCCTAGTGATATCAATGTCTTGTTTCTTTTTGCTGGAATCAGTACTACAAAGATCATCTTCTACTGTTTTAGTATATCTTTGAAAACAGATGTGCAAGAACTGAATGGTGATCGGTTGGAGCAATTGATAAGTAGAATTAGCGGATTCGACCTCGTTGTCGGTAGCACCACTTGTAACAATCTTAATGTTCATGGCTTTAAGCTAGTGATGATTTGCCTACTTTGTATTCCATGTATTTAAAAGTATTAACATAAAGTGATATTCAGAAATCTTTAAATTATTTCAAAATTATGTTAATTCAATAGAAAAGAATAAATTGAATTTCCAAAAATAAATTGAATCTCAAATAAATTGAACTTAAAATAGATAGAATTGTATTCAAAGTTCTGGCAATCATAAGAATAATAAAAATTCAAATGTCTCAACAAATTATAAGCATAAGTATTTCTAAATTAATCAAGTTGACACAACTTAGAGTAATGATGTAAGCCTTTGTCTGGAAGATCTCAATCGTTGTCAAAATGCTTGTAGATGTGAAGCTTCTTCCAAACTATCAAAATCTTAAGAGTTCAATTGCCAGATGCCTAATATCAACCTACATTTGAGCCGCCTTTTCAGGTTTTCAACTCAAATCCTT